AATGTATATATGTGTACGTCTACGTGTGTGTGTGTGTGAGCGTGAGTTACATATATATATATATATGTATGCATATAGAAATATATATATGTATATATGTACATATGTACACATATATGTTTGTAGATATATATTTATATGTATATATATATATATATATATGTACATATGTACACATATATGTTTGTAGATATATATTTATATGTATATATATATATATATATATATATATATATATATATATATATATATATATATATATATATATATATATATATATATATATATATATATACATATATATATATATATATATATATATATATATATACATACATATATATATATATATATATATATATATATATATATATATATATATATATATATATATATATATATATATATATACACATGTATGTGTATACATACATACCCACACACATATACACAGACATACATATATATACACATATATGTTTGTAAATATATATGTTTGTAAATATATATGCATATATATATATATATATATATATATATATATATATATATATATATATATATATATATATATATATATATATATATATATATACATATATATATATACATACATATGTATGCAAATTTCTTTGACAAACTTTAACTCGAAAATTTGTCTTTGACTCGATCTAAAGCTTGTCCTTAGCGATTTTGTCTTTAACTCGCATTTCTGTCACATTTCAAAGTTAACAGATAAGTACAACTAATATTAAATTTTAGAAGACCCTTTCACAATAATTCGATGTAATTAAAGAATTTAGATTGCAGTGAATCTAAAGTATATGATGGCTATAATATTACATATCTAATATCTCTTGTTTTCTGAGAAGGCGGGCGGCGGTATTTGTATTTATCTACGAGAAAACTGCAGTAAACCAGAAGGAATCGTCGCAATTAACGTTTGAGAATAGGTAATAAAGTGGCAGAAAAAAAACTATAATTTCTGATGAGGGATTATCTTCATCAACTGTAAAATCGCATACTGTTGTCGGCGTCATTTAAGGACAATTTAAAGACAGCTCTTACACTCGCGGGGCACCTCCGGACCAGTCCTAAGCTTCGACCGAGTCATAGACAAAAATCACGAGGAGTCATAGACAAAATATCGAAGTTTAAGACTTCTTTTCTGTCGAAGTCAGATTCTCAAGTCTATTACCTTTCGTGTATACCTCCTCAGGGATTTATTGCCAGTATCATTAAAATAAATGAATAAAATAAGATCTATAACGATATGAATGTTTGCTCTAATCAGCAGCATTACTTTGAGATGTGGCACGGGGCAAATCGTAGACAAAATCGCAAAGAACAGTCATAGACCTTTCGTGAATACGGCCCCAGGGCCGGTATTCCCGAAATGACGAAAGTCATAGACTACGAAATTTGTCTTTGACAAAAAAAAAAGCTTCGACTCCGACATTTGTTTGACTCCTCGCGAAGATGTCCTTTAAATTGTTCTTATGAGACAACAATAATGTGATTTTATTTTCACTGAAGACAACTACGCATCAGTAATGATATGGAAATCTGTCACCATTTTTTAAGCTACTGTCAAACATTAATCAAGCCATTTCGTCCGCGACTGCTAGTTTTCTCGTAAATAAGTACAAAAGGCGCCGCGGACCTTCTCAACTGATGCTACGACAACAAATGTGGAGGGTACCACATAAACACAAAAAAGTATTAAACTGATAATTTAGTCATTATATACTTAAGATTCACTGCAATTATTACATAAAATTAATATCGTGGTGTCTTTTAAGATGTGAGGATTTGTATTATTTAAGTGTTAACAAAATCGGTAAGGACAGTTTTAAAAACGAGTCATTGACAAATTCTGCGAGTCAAAGACTGTTTCTCAGACAGTCCACATATTTGTCAAAGCCCCTTCATGAACACCGCCCTGGTGATTAGAATAGAAAAGCGACTTGGCGAATCGGGATAATCTAGTGAGTTGCCAGTTTTCCCTTTCCTGAGATTTAACGTAGCTTGATTTTGTGTTTTGTTTATAGTATGGCGTCGAGATGAGTGGTTTGGTGTCTGTTAGTGTAGCGTGAGGTATGCCCAGCCAAAACAAGTGGGTTTATTTATTTTTTTTTACTGTTGGTATGGCAGTAGTAATCATAAGTATTAACTACATAACTTATTTACACTTCGTGAAATTTTTTTTAATGAAGTATAAACACATCTTTGTTAGAATTTTAATAATCATGTTTTAATTATTTCACTTGTCTATTTTATTTACTTTCATCCACCTACTTGATGTCATAATATTGCAAGTCCCACGTGCCCCCGTGCGTAATGGAGGGCACATGGTTTCATCCCCAATACATATTTCAAGAGACACTTAGGTGCTAATAAGTGTTTGTGCATGTTGATTTAAAAGACTACTGTATATTCATGTCTATTTTTTTAATGTAATTTATTATTCAATTTCTCCTTACCTTCTTTTTCTGTTTCATCTTGTTTTCTTTTACGAGGGGTTTAAAAGAACATTAATTTTCTTATTTTATTTCTACATCTACAACTATGTTGTTTCAAATCACATAGATTTGAAATCAACAGAGTTTAATATCTGGAGGCCTCAGCTTCCTCAAGCTCCTGCTGAGCCTTGCGGAACTTGGCCAGGTTGAGGGCGGCGATCTCCTCAGCCTCCTCGATCTGGCGCTTGTAGGTCTTGATCTTCTGCTGGAGCTTATCGACGAGGTCCTGCATCCTCTCATGATTCTTCTTATCCTCGTCAGCCTGGAAGGCGAGCTCCTTGATGCGCCTCTCGCACTTCCTCAGGTTCTTCTGAGAGTCCGCGTGGCGGCGAGACTCATCGTCCAGAGAAACCTCGAGCTCACGGATACGAGATTCGAGGTTGCTGATCGCCTTCTTCCCGGTCTTCATGACAGTGCTTTCAGTCTCCTCAAGACGAGTCTGCAGCTCTTTAACGGTAACCTCGAGACCCTTGCGCATCTTCTCTTGCGTCATTGCATGTTCCTGCTCAGAGCGGAGTTCATCAGCTAGACGGGCAGCATCAATCATGGCCTTCTTCGCCTTCTCCTCGGAGTTCTTTGCTTCGCTAAGCATCTCTTCAAGATCAGCCTACGGAAGAAAAAGTGTGATTCAGGCACCATGGAAATCAGTGTAAATAAAGATACTTAACAAAAAAAAAAAAAAAAAAAAAAAAAAAAAGATTAAAAACATCAAAAAATATAATGTAACTTACATGCAGTGTCTGCATTTCACCCTCGAGCTTTCTCTTGGAGGCGTTAAGAGCAGAATTCTGTTCGGTAAGATTGTTGACTTGATCGCGTGCATCGTTGAGCTCAGACTCAGCCTGGCGGCGCCCGCGGTCGGATTGTTCCAGGAGAGCACGGGATTCCTCCAACTCTCCATGAAGAGCATTGGCACGGCGTTCAGCAATGCCATACTGTTCAAGGAACTCAGCGGCAAGACGCTGTTCCTCCTTAACGCGGGCTTCCATGTCCTTGGTCTCTTCCTGAATCTTCTTGTAATGTTTATGGAGGTCGGAATTGGCCTTATTGGCATGGTCAAGGGCAATCTCGAGCTCATTGATGTCAGACTCGAGTTTCTTCTTTATGCGAAGAGCCTCAGCCTTACCCTTGGCTTCAACCTCAAGAGAAGCTTGCATGGAATCAATTGCACGCTGATGACACTTGCTGAAAACATAATGTATATGTTTTATACATATTACATTAATGATATTTGTTATACAGTAAACATAAATTGATTTACCATTAGAACACTTTTCTATTGCAATACTTACCGAGTATTTTCAAATTCTTCTTCCTTCTCTTGAATACGCCTGTCAATCTCTTGCCTGACTTGGCTGAGTTCGAGCTGTGTTCGGAGGACCTTGTTCTCCTCCTGTTCCAGAGCTGCCTCAGCCTCCTCGAGAGCTGCTTGGAGCTCTTCCTTCTCGACTTCCAGTCGTTTACAGTTCTTCTGAGCTTCATGATAAGCTCGTCCACCTTCGCCAATCTGGTCCATCAGATCTTTAATCTCATCACTGAGGTTCTTATTCTCACGGCGGATGCTGTCGAGTTGTTCAATGTTCTCTTCGTAAGCAGCCTTTAGGCGGAAGTGTTCGGTGGAGTAGTTGCGGCATTCCTTCTGGGAGGCATCGAGTTCAGCAGCAAGGTCATCGACCTTCATCTTCCATTCAGAGAGGATCTTATCGAAGTTCTTCTGTTTCTTCTCAGCGGCAAGAGCAAGGGTTTGCGCACGCTCAGCAGCAGCCTGAAGATCCTCTAATTCGGCGGAAGCACGCACCTTGGTTTTCTCAAGATGCAGGTTCCTAACATTGAGGGACTCGATTTGCATTTCAGCTTCCTCGAGGCGAGCGGCAAGCTTCATGCGAGAAGCTTCAAGTTCCTCTGCACGGGCAACACCCTCAGACTCGTACTTGGAGCGCCACATAAGAGCCTCAGCGTTAGCCTTGGAGAGCATTCGCTGAACGTCCGCCTTTGCCTCGCTCTCCTCTTCCAGTTGCTCGCGAAGGACGTCAATATCATGCTCCAAGTTGCGCAGCTTTCCCAACAGAGTAGCACGTCCCTGGTGGTTTATATAAAATGCGTTAGGATGCACGTTATTCTTTAACACCAAAATAAGAACAATTATATTTACTTATATAATGTATGAATCATTAAAATTTGAAACATTATTATTTGTAATCATTATTTTTATTGCTGATAAAATTATCAAGTTCTCCATAATCATAGCCGCTATCACCTTTCAACATTATTATTTGTAATCATTATTTTTATTGCTGATAAAATTATCAAATTACCCATTCTCTCTTCACGACTTACCCTGCTCTCCTCATCAGCGAGCTTCCTAGTATCATCCAGCTGGTTGGTGAGAGACAGTTTCAGCCTGGACAGCTGGCCGACTTGGTTTTCGGCCTCTTCTAGCTGGCGGATAAGGTCAGCATTCTCGCAGGCAAGCTTCTTCTTGGTGGCGTCAAAGTCACTCAGGGTACGGTTGGCCTCATCAAGTTTAGCGTGGAGTTCACTTAGCTGATGTTGAAGCTGCTTGGTGGTCTTCTCGGAAGCAGTCTGTGTATTTAAGTAGAATGCGCGTCACATAACAGAATGGGTGACAAATAAAAATACGTGTCAGAGTAATAATATAAATCGAAGATTGCAATTATTACTGTAGTTGTCATAATAATAGCACTGCATCTTTTTCATCAGCACCCGCAAATAATTACAGCATCGTGAAAAAGAAGGGAAAAAAACGGAAATCAATTGCCAGATAAATGACAATAAAGCCAACATCAGTAAAAAATCCCTATCAATTTGTCAATCTCTATACCTGTGTGTGTGTGTGTGTGTGTGTGTGTGTGTGTGTGTGTGTGTGTGTGTGTGTGTGTGTGTGTGTGTGTGTGTGTGTGTGTGTGTTTGTGCGTGCGTGCGTGCGTTTATGTATATGTGTATGCGTGTGTGTGGTGTGGCATGTGTTTGTTATTGTGCTATGTTTATATGTGTGTGTATGTTTGTGCGAGTGTAAATATAGTTGTATTTTCCATGACCAAACATAATTTATGATAAATAATAACAAGGCCAGGAACAAGGAACCTAACTTAAATACGTTAAAGACTGTTCGCTATAATATATATAATATGTAATAATATGCAATAAGTTGGGATAGATTCCACAAAACTTAATGGGAATGGTTGTCTGGTGAATAATGTGTTAGAGTAATTCAGTTTTGATATGATAAAATCACCCAACTTAATGACAGTCTAAAAAATTATCGGTGGATTTTTTTATGATGTATGTAATAGTGCTTATAAAGATGTATACGTACGCTGATAACAAACTGAATGTAATAGTGATCAAATGTGTCTAGGAACATTACAGAGATAATACGGATATGCCGACATATTAAGTTATTGACGTTTTTTATGTATATGAATTGTTTAATCTATATATATGCATGCAGTCTATATTTCACAAATAAAAGATTATAGAACATGACTCTACCTTTTCACGACTAAGGGAATCCATGGAAGCTCTTGCATCATCTGCATCACGCTTCATTGTCTCCTTATCCTTCTCAACTCTGTTTATTGAGAAAATATTCAGATAAAATCATGGTTTGAGATAAATTGCACTGTGTTAATTCATCCTTGAAACCAAACATTGTTTTCCTAGCCCTTCGCCATGAGGGAACGCCATCTTACCTGGCCTTCATCTTGTTGAGATAGTCGATTTGCTCAGACATCTCAGCAATAGCATCGTTGTGCTTCTTGCGCAAGGAAGCTAGGGCGGCCTCATGCTGAAGGTTGGCCTCCTCGATCTCGCGCCGGACCTTCCCCAGTTCACTCTCGCGTTTCTTGTTGATCTCGATCTGAGTCGCCGTGGCACCGCCAGCTTCATCCAGCCGCTCGCCAAGTTCTCCCAATTCGCGAGAGAGATGATTCTTGGCTTTCTCGGCCTTCGCACGGGCTTGACGTTCGTGCTCGACCTCCTCCTCGAGTTCCTCCAGGCGAGCTTGCAGTTCCTTGACCTGTCTCTGGTCCCTGTTCACAAGAAGCTGTTCATCTTCGATTTTGGCAGTGATGGCAGAAATCTCCTTATCCTTGCGTTCGACGGCCATTTCGAGTTCCTTGTGATTCCTTTCAAGATCAGAAACAGCTTCCTGAGTCAGCCGGAGGTCACCTTCGACTTTCCTCTTAGCCTTCTCTACCTCACTGCGAAGCTTCTTCTCGCGTTCGAGAGAATCCTCGAGCTCATCAAGCGTTGATTCCAGTTTGCCTTTGACTTTGTTGAGGTGGTTGCACTTGTCCTCAATGGCCTGGAGATCTTCGGCAGTCTTTTGGTTGCATTCCTGAAGATGCTTCTTTTCCTTATTTACCTTAGTGATTAATTCCTCTTGGTGAGCGACTTCATCTTTAAGATTATGGATCTGCTGATCCTTTGTGAGCTTGTCCTGCTCACCCTTCTGGATGCTGAGCTCGAGATCTTCCAGGTCCTTCTTCAGGTTCCCAACCTCCTGTTCACATTTTTTCCTGCCGTTATCCAGCTGGTTGCGTGCTTCCTCTTCACTTTGGAGGCGTTCTAGGGTTTCCTAATTCGGAGGAAATAAATATTTTGTCAGTAGTGTAAGAAAAATAAGCTAACTTTAATCATATTGCTGGTGGAAACAATCTATAACTATAACAAGTATATCAATTTTTCAGTATCTGTTTAAAAACAATTGCACTTACGTTAAGCTGGGCCTCTAACTCGGACTTCTGAGCTTGCAACTTGGCTTGCTTATCAAGATAGTCAGACATACCACCCTTGCTAGACTCTACGGCTGACAAAAGATCATTCCTCTCTTGAAGAAGAGCAGCATTTTTGA